TTGGGAGTCCAGTTCTTTCCTATATGAGCTCATTAAAGGGCTCAACATCAGTCATGATTTTGTGTACTGCGTGGCTTTTTCTCTCATTAGAGGAAGAGTGATGATTTTGGTGGCTTTGTATATGCTAACAAAATTCCTCAGCCCCTTTGCTTGTACAGAATTGAGCTGTGGCGTTAGATTGCTGTCCTTATAGAAAGGCAATGTGAGAAGCTCAGCAAAAGTGACAATTGTCTTTATTATAAAAGATGTCCCCGCATCACACAGAGAAGAAATGTGTCATCAGTTTCAGAACTAGTAATGGTTGTGCTGCCCTGACAATCCAGTCTTATTTTTTTCCTTTTCCTCTCGGGAATTCTATGAATTTAACAACGCTGAGGACTCAGCATCAGTTTAAGCTTAGGTTGGAACTTCTGCCCATGACTTTCCAGCATGTATTTTTACATTCTAACTTTATCTCTGGCTTTCTTTAATGCTCCTATTTTTGCTTATTCCATTTACTCACCTGTCGATAGTCTATCCTGTTATAAACCATCACAAAGAACATTTCCCACTTTTTCATTGTTTGTACAGATTAATAGATTTCATTTTGGCAGATTCACGCATGCGCAGAGCATGCTTTGACCCTCTTTACTCTTCACCCCTTGCCCTTCCCTCCCCACAGCTTCACACTGTGAGGCTTTCAGTGCAGATAATAAATTTTGTTCATATCCATCCCCTCAGTATCTGAAAGACAAGTGGCGACAGAACAAAAGCACTGATCAGTGAGTTAATGAAACGTAATTGGAATACATGGAAAACAAGGTCCCATTAAGAAAAGCCCTCTGTATCCGGGGCTCTGGAGTAAAGGAAACCAGAGGATGCCGGGGCCAGAGGAACACTTGCTCCTCTGGATGCTCCCCTCCCCCCACTGGGGACCTGGATGCCACCACACACCTCTCAGAAGCATTGCTTCACGTTTTTCCCACAGAGGTCACTACTACGCGGGCCAAGAGCCATCTTTACAAGTGAGCTGACGGAGATACAATTACACTATTTATTGGGAGGCACAGCCATATGGCTTGTGTTTAAGGAAACTCAGCCTTTCCTCAAATGAAAATGGAGCTCTAAGAAGAGTGTTTACTCTCAGAGGAACCGCATTCCTTGGAAGCACAAGGAAGGGATGAGGCACATGCAGCCTGAACACAGGGACAGGGAAGAAGCACCGCTCTATCAGGGAGCACCCCCCCAAGTCCCTCCCACTGCCTGCCCTCTGCAGGGGCCCCATAGCCCCCCCGCCTGCCTCCCTTCTCGCCATGAGGGTAGAGGTGCGAGGCAGCTGCCAGCTAGACTGTGCTCAGCAAAACCAAACCCAGAACCCACAAAGTGCAGGACTCAAGGAGCCAAAGCAGCGCGGTGCACATCTTAACTTCCTCAACCAGTTAGTTCAGCCACCCAAATCCTGAGCTAAAGACAGAGGGAAGAAACGAGACACAATATGAAAAATACAGACCTTTATAAGATTACAGCTCAGTAGACGTGTAGTGAAAATGAACATATGTCTTACTTAGCAATTAAATCCACTCAAAGGGTTATTAAGTCATCCAGGCACCCCTATTGCACCTGGCTCCAGGCCTCTTTATTATTCTGGCACAGCGTTTGCGTTATAAAACAATCAGTAGCCCCCTCTCCAGTAGGATTCACTGTTACCCTGCCCTGCCTGGACCTCAGCCCATAGGCCAAGAATCACAGACCAAGCAAGAAGTGATATGAGGCTCCTCAGTCCCTTCCCTCGTTCCCCACAGTGAGACTGCCATGAAGTAACCACAGTTAAGACAGCTGTTGTAAAACATAGGACTTTACAACTAAAGGTTTGTTTATTTGCCCCTGGAAGGATTTAGGCCACATCAGGCACCCTTTAGTTTCAAATTTCTCATCAGAGATCCTTTTTTGCTTTTATAGTACAGTGAAATCATTGCTGTTCCTCACAACAGTCTGAGTTGAGATAAGGGAAGTCTGTGAACAGCAATCTCTTCCACACTGGATGCAAAGGTCATCCTTAATACATTCCCTGTTCTCTCAAATGGATTTCTGACAAGGGTGTCTCCCTGGTCCTCCCACAGAGTGAGAGAAACTGGCCACTCACAAATACTCATAAGATAACAGGAACACATGTGAATTGCATCCCAGCACTTAAGCTCTGGCTATTTTTCTTTTGCACCGGTTTTACAGAAATTCAAATGGCAACTCAACAATATCTTCATGGCTGCGTTTGTAGCTTGGTGGCAGAGCATGGGCTTAAGCGTGCACAGAGTCCAGCGTTCAATCCCAGCGCCTTCCCCCACTCCAAATTATCCTCCAACCCACTAACGTCTTTTTCATTTAGTAAATAGCAAGTTTATTGTACGTGTTCACACCCACCGGGCTCAGTTAGGCCTCTCTTCTGAAAGTCGTAAGAAGAAAAAGACACTGGCTCTCAAACAGACAAGATGAGAGGTTGCACCAGCTGGCTAGGAACCTCAGGGAAGCATTTTAACTCTGCGGGTCTCAGTGTCCCCATCTATAGCAGGAAAGGGTGAGACCAACTGGTAGATGTCTAAGGGCTGCTTCAGCTTTTTAAGTCTAAACTCAGAATAATAAATAAACCCCATCTTCTACAAGATCCCTGCAAAACATTCCTTCTGTGAAAGCTTTTGCAGCAAGAGCAAGACAGACAATCTTGTTAGCTGAACCAGTCTTCTTGCAGTATTGCAACCAAAAGCACTGCAGAGACATCCGAGAGCCTTATTTTGGTGCGCTATATTTTTAGGGGAAATCGGAAAGAAATGTATGTACAAATGAGCACATATTCATATTTTATTACATTTAATACATGTATGTAATCTAGCCCTAACCAAAAAAAAAAAAAAAAAAAAAGTCCTAGCGCCCTGAGAATACAATTCCCCAGGAAGTTTTCAAGTCACACGAGTTCACTCTACACTGTATTTAAATCGGAAGGTCTATAATCATGAGAACCTGAAATGACAATGGTGTTGGAATTCTGTGGTTGTTTTGTTTTGTTTTGTTTTGTTTTGTTTTGTTTTGTTTTGTTTTGTTTTGTTTTGTTTGTTCTTCCGAAACAGTAAGTTGCTTCCCTGTTGACCTGAGTATAATTCTAGGAAGCGCCCTCATGTGGCAAAGTGATGCAATTGCGAAATCGTTTTGTCCTGCGTTTGAGAATGCTAGGCAAACGGTAGCTGCCACTTTTTGAGCACTCACTAAATTTCAAAGACTGTCCTGGATTTTTTACATGCTAATAAGATAAAGCACTTATGAAAGTCGATTTTCAGTGTCGCGGAGAGAAATGGAAGTCTTTTGTTTCAGGGAAGCCCAAGCTATAACGGAGGATTTATCTCACTGAGTGCTGTGATTTGGATTCCGTGTGTCCATCCGCTAAAGGCCCTGCCTTAGCTCCTTGGTCCTCAGCACAGTGCTGCTGGGAGGTGGTAGGAATCAGAGGAGGCTGTCTAGGTCACTGGGAGGATGCCTGCGAAGGGGACTGTGAGACCTGCTCTCCCCTCCCTCTCCACTCCCTTCCTGCCCTTTTCTTCTGTTTCCCAGCCAGGAAGTGGGCAAGCACCCTATGTCCCCAGGGCTCTTATGTGACCTGCTGCCTCCCGCTGGCCCAAAGCAACAGGGCAGCCTGCCGTGAACAAAACCTCCAAAACTGTGAATCAAAATAAATCTTTTGTCTTTATAAATTGATTCACCTCAGGCATTTGCCATAGTGACAGAAAGCTGACAAATACACCGAGTACATTTCCCCCGGCCATCTCTGAACCCAGGGGTAGCAGTAACCTCAACACATTTTTTTTTAACCTTCACTGCACTTTCTTGGAATTCTGAGTTGTGACTGAGAAGCTCCGTAAGTTGTAGTTTATTTTCTGCTCACAGACCCCAGTTTCAGATTGGCAAAATGAAGAGAGAAGACAAAAAAGAAGGCAACACCAAAAAAATTGGTGAGAAAGAAGGAAAAACTATAGCTCAGTGCACTATAAAAATCTCCAGGAATCCGAGGATCTTTTAATTCAAACAAACTTACTTACAAATGACTTGACAGGCATTTTATGAACCACTTACTTACATAATTAAAAGCTGTATTTGTTAGTAATCTACCCTAACCAAGCCTCCAATCTTTCCAGTTACCTGTGCATGTCACAGAGTACGTTTCTGTGCTCAGCACCACATTTGATAAAACCATTGCTCGGTTCTCAAACAGGATTACTAAATAATATCAATGCCAGCAACACCCCTGGGCTGAGCAGACAAAAGCTCTCTGTGTGTTCTGATTCTGAGTGCTCAGCCCCTTCCACAGAAAGCCCAGCGTCCAGGCACCCACAGTAGGGTGGTCCTTTCTCAAGAGGTTCTAAAGTTTACTTGCTGCTGAGTTCCAGATTCTTGTGTGAAAACATGGATTTTTTGTACACTGAGATCCTGTAGCTTTTTAAAGGAAATTAGAAGGTCAAAGTTTTCACCAGAAACATCCTAACTTTTAGATTTTGGAAATTTTAAATACAATAAAAAAAAGAAAATCAAGCTATGTGTGAAACCAAAACAAAGCCGATTTTCAACCCAGATTTGTGTCTGTAGTTTCTTCCACTGGGACTTTTGAGGACTGAGGTTCAAGCTCCCCCTGGCACTTGTCTTCCTAAAGATGGAGCTGAGGAAATTCTAGAGGAAGAAAGCTGCTCAAGTTTTCTGATGTGCTTCATGTCACTGTAGACAGCTCATCAAGACAAACGGCATAGATCTTGTTCCCGTTATGTGGATATTCCCATCAGTTCCCTAGAACATGAGAGCTCACAGTGACCACTGCAAAACACTCCTTTACTCTCTCAGTAGCCATTCGGGGTCGTGTCTTTTTCTTTGTGGTCATTAATACCTAGTCTTTAAGAAACCCCGTACCCGTTTTCTGGGTTATGCTCTCTACCTATAATAGAGAATGCAAAATCTTCTCTCTGGAAGACCAAGGTGCTCATCAATGAAGACACTATGCAAATGTTACTTAGAGTCAACATGCCAGTTATATTTTCAGCCACATAAGCAGAAGGCTTCTTTATTAAACACCTGCTATTTTATATGAACAAACGAAGAGAAGGCATGGCTAGGTTTTCATTGAGGAGTGGCTATGCTCTGCATCTATTCACAATTTAAATCTCTGCTGTCCTGTATAAGTACAAAATGTATACCTTAGTAAGCTCCTGAGCACTACCTTAGCCCCAAACAGTCTCAACTACAGAGGTGTACCACACAGATTCAGAGTAGGAGAAAGCCGCATGGATTTGGATCATTCAGGGAGAAAAACACATGGAGGGAAGCTTTGTATTTATAGCAGGGATAGCTAAGGAGATTTTTCATCTGGAAAAACCTTTCTGAAGCTGCAGTAGGAAACTGGGTCTCCAGTCGCCAGTCTCCCTGGCAGGGTAGGAGGAAACTAAGCAGGCACCACTGAGAATTCCCAGGCCGGCAGGCAGAACAAGAGACCTACTCCTATGTATGGATCATATGGATATATGCATAATTACACGTATACAGGTATGTATACATTTACTATATGTATAGAGTGGAATTTCACAAATCACAGTTTTAGCAGCTTGACAGTTTTCACTGTCATTGTGGGAGGTTTGCTCCTGTTTGACTTGGTTTCTTTAGAAGATAAATGGAATAAGCGCTTTCCGAGACTTAGGGTAGTCCTCAAACATCTTGAGGTAGAACCTAGAAGACAAGAAAGGCATAGATAAAATATAAATGAGCAGTGGTCCTCAGCTGAGGTTTGCAGAGTCTGAAATACTTGTTACAAGTCAACCTACAGTTTCTCAGGGCCTGGCTACTCCAGGTGGACATTTGCCTATGCTCTTTCCCTGTGCACCAGGCTTTCTCTTTCACATGTTGATTCTTCTTGCCTTGGGAAATAAAAAGTCATAGCCAGAAGGTAGTGGTAACGGCTGCCCGTATTACAAATACACCCAGTGCAGAAGCAGAGACTCCCAAAGGCCAGGAGCAAAGTTAACCTGAGAGAATCCCTGGAAAATATCGCTTCACAAAGGCTGGGAACACCTCCGTATTTGGGTTCAATTTTTCCCCCCTCAAAAGATAGATGGAAGAACTAACTCCCAGTACCAGAGAAGGTGACCTTAGTTTGGAACTAGGATCACTGAAGCTATAATTAATTAAAATAAAGTCATACTGGAACAAGACGGACCCTTAATCCGGTATGACTGATATCCTTAAAGGAAGAATAACAGACACAGGAGAGAAGGCCATGTGATGCCAGAGGAAGAGAGCAGAGTAAGGCAGCTGTAAGCCGGGGAATCCCAAGGATGGCTGGCCCCTTCCCAAAGCTGGGAAGAGGCAAAGGAGGATCCTTCTAGCTGTCACAGTGAGCAGGGCCCTGCCTACAACTTCTTTTCTGGCTTCTAGTCTCCAGAACCATCAGAGAATAAATTCAGCCACTCAGACAGTGGTCATTTCTTACGGCAGCCCTGGGAGAAAAATGGACCCTATAGAAAGCCTTCTCTGAGGTTGCCAGGTTGTGCTCTGCACTGGCTGAAGCCGGTTGTGCTCACGGTGTAATTAAGACAACACACCTTGCTAAAGAAGCTTAGTTTGAGCTGGAGGACAAACAGTAACACTACGTGCACAAGGTGGTTGATTTTCACTCTTTGATTCGAGAGGACAGTGTGCGTGGCCTGTGTGAGGAACACCTGACCTCGTTTCATAAGTGCCTTCACAAAGCGGATTTAGTCCTATAAAAGAGATGCCCTCTGGCCCTCCCTCTGGGCGGTCTGTCCTAACCAGATGGTCTCCCTTTGGATTTTGCTTTTGCACCAGCTGAAAATATTTGGTGGAATCAATGCCCCTTCTCAGACCGAACACCATGGTCTGTGCTCTTCAGGGCCCTCAGTGACACCCAGTCCTCTCCCATCCACTCTGCCTGTGATGGGGAGAGCAGTCCCGTGCTTCTCTTAGGGTTGGGAAATCCTCTGTCGCCCATTCCTGCCGCAAGTGGAGGGTGGCAGGGGAACGGTTGCTTCATTCATCTCTTAACTGTGCCATAAATTCCACTTAGAAGACTTGTCTTCTGTTTAACCTTTAAAACTATAGAATGAACCATGTGCCAGCCTGGCACACCAAGGCAAGAGCTTGAGGGGCTCCCCAGGGTCCCAGATCCGAGTCTGTCTCCCCTCAGACCCCACAGTGTCCTCAGTCTCCGGTAAGCACAGGCTTCCTCTTTCCTCAAAAGCCATTTTTGGACAGAGATCTGAAGTTCACATATAGGTTTAAATCCTGATAACAATTTAATATCTTACCTTTTTTCTTTTAGTGATACTTTCGGTTACCAATTTGGTCCCCATCCGGGATTAGTGGGTGGGGTCAAGGAAGCCGTAGACCTAACCTTCAGAGGGTTCTACACACCTGCAATCCCAGAACATACCAGCAGATGGGGCATTCCTAAAACAGTTGCCCACCCCAACTGCTTCCCAGAGCTTCCGAGGCGGCCGCAAAGACTTCGGCCGGGAGTTAGGGAGAGCGGCAGTAGGGGAACGAGAGAAGTATCAGAACAAGCCCTGCTGTTGCACAAATCCTAGGGTAAATAATCCTTCAATAGTTTACAGGGCTCTGAGGTTACCTGAACTGTGAGCACCAAACTGCGAATTAAATGACACCACACAAAAGAGCAACCGCAGGCACCTGGCTCACGCTTCTCCCCGGTGGTTCTCTATCCTGCTTGTACCTCAGAGTTAGCTGTGAGGTTCTGAGACGTGCTAGCCAAGGACTCGCCTCTGGAACACACTTCAAGAAATGGGATGGGAGGGATTTGAATTGAAGTATCGAAATGCAATTTGCTTCCTCCGCCTCTTAACTTGTTGTCTATTGCTTAGTGCCAAGAAGTAACCATTACCAGACGCAGAACCTGGGTCAATGAACTTTCTTGATGCAAGGCGCCCCTTGCTGGGAAGCCTTAAACGGGCTTCTCAATGGTCACCTCAGGCGCCTCTGTCGCCCTGGGCTTATTTTTTCTCTTAGAATTAGAAGTACTACTACTATCACCTAGCTAAATTCCAACTTCAGTAAAAGCCTTAAAAAGTCAGAATTTAAGGATCCAGAGTACTGTATCGTATTTCCCTTTTAAAAATAAGTATCTTAGGTCTCTCAATCTGACTCCATGCGCCAACATCCTGTTTGCAGAAGAAAGCTAATGGATGCTATCACCTCTATTGAAAAGTTACCAGGCACAGTTGGCGCAGGCCTATAATTCCAGAACTGAGGGAGGCTGAGGGACAAGGATAGCAAATTTAAGTCTCACCTGGGCAATTTAGTGAGACCCTGTCTCAAAATGCAAATAAAAGGTACAAAAGAGCTGGAGATGTAGCTTAGTGGTAGAGTGGCCCTAGATACAATCCCCAGGAAGGAAGGAAGGAAGGAAGGAAGGGAGGGAGGGAGGGAAGAGGGAGGGGAAGGGAAGTTTGCCTTACCTATGGTGGTGAACAGCTCGAATCCCAAGGAAACAAAACGAGAAAAATGCAAAAGCAAGTGCAGGAACAGACCAAGTGGCCAAGGCATAGCCAATCCATTCAATAATCTCACCAAGGAAATTTGCTCCCGAAACATATGTAAACATGCCACCTGTGTGCAGAAGAATCAAAGAGTCAACACTCAGAATGGAATCACTGCGGCATTAGACCCCTCTGTTCCAAAATACAGGCAACTAGACAAATGCGGGGCTGCAGATTTTTCACAGCAACAGCAGTTTAGTGGAATTTTCTCGGGGAAAAGAGAAAACAAAGCAAGAGCTGCTGGCTGCTCATAGAACATTCGGAACCCTGAGGAGGGGTCGCATCGGCTTGATGGACCATGAAGTTCGGACAGGACAAGGAATAGAAGCAGGACGTCTGCTTTGGGATCGACAGGCCTTTTCCTACTTCCCTACTCCTTCACAGACACATCCACTGCCAGTCAGCATGTTACACTCCTAGTCACACAGAGTGAAACAACACACTCCATTAAAACAGGAAACTCTGGCTTGATGTGGGAAGCACTTGGAGTCTCTTTTGGCATTTGCTCCGACCCCGCTTCCCACCCCTGCACCTCGGCTAAGCGCTAGACTGGACGAGTTTAAAGCAAGGACTGTTTGTCCCGCCAGAGGCCAGTGAGGTCTGCTTTTGTTGATTTCTGTAGAAAGTGTTTCACTTTCTACCCAAAGAAAAGCATTTCCTCTCTCTGGACTGTATCTAGAAATCGGCATATTTCTAGTTGTATTAAATCTATCTACACTCAAATTTTGTGAGTCATATGAAACAGAAATCCTGATCTAAACAATTTTTCTTCCTATACTTATAAAACAAATATTCTTATTTTTAAGTTACTTTCTATCATAACTCCAAAGTTGGAGACTAATCTTGGCAACATGGTTTTAAGAAGTTTTTCCACGCTTCTTTGTCTAGTTATTGAGTGAAGGCCTTATAAAATATCAAGGTCTCACCAGGTGTGGTGGTACACACCTGTAATCCCAGCACTTGGGAAGCTGAGGCAGGAGAATCTTTATGAGTTCCAGACCAGCCTGGGCTACAAAGTGAGCTCACAGCCAGCCTGAACTGTGTAGCAAGACCCTGTCTCAAAAAAAAAAAAAAAAGAAATAAAAACATGGTCCTTTAAAATTATTTTGCTTTAGGGTGACATTATATCTGTGGTTCCATACCTGCAATTCCCTAGACCTGGAGAGAAACCACTGATCTATTGCAAATTATCTAGAAATACACTAAAAAGTATTTATCCACCTCCTATACTATTTTTAAGGTGGATACCGTCAGGGTATTAACAATCATCAAATTACTTACATGTGTCACTGGATTCATAGTAGCTTTTTCATTATTTTCTCAATCAGTGGATATCAATCTTTACTAACATCATGTCATAATTTAAGAATTGTGGTTTTGCTGCAAATAAAGTGTTTTATTTACATCAAGAAGGGTAGGAGCCACTAAGCCACTTAATTGTATTAAAGGATTCCTTGAACTGATTCCTTGCCGCAGGCTTATCTGCCAAACTCACACCTAAGTTTCTTGGGAACAATTAGGATTTAAAGCATTTTCTATCTTTAGCTCCAAAAAATGTTTAGTGGTGTGCTGTACAATGACACTTATAGTCGACAGCAGATTGTGTCAGTGATGGTGGTCCCATTGTACTGTGATGGATCTCAAAAATTCCTGTCACCTAGGATATCACAGCAGAATACATTACGTGTGTATTTGTGGTGATGCTGTTGTAAATGAACCTGTAGTGCCGGTCATATAAAAGTACAGCACATACATTATGTATATGATAGAATACTTAACAATGATAATAAATGACTATGATAGTTTGTATGTTTACTATGCTATACTATGAGTTGATATTTTAGCCCGTATGCTTACTTATTTTTAGAAAGCATCTATAAAACAGTCTCAGGTTTAATATTCCAGAAAAAAAAAAAAAACTATAGTTATCATAGGAAATGACAGTTCCTAGGTGTTGTTGTCCTGAAGACCTTCTAGAGGGATGGAGTACGGAGGTGGAAGACACCAATGATGCTGACTCTGTGTATACACACACACACACATATGTTAGGTCCTAGGCTAAGGTGTGCATTTGTACCTAAGTTTTTCACCAAAAGGTAAAAACAATTTCTAAAAAAAAATGTAAATAAGCTATAGCTGTACCGCACAGTTTAGGTGTGTAGTGGGCTATACCAACTAAGTTCTTACAGTATGCCCTGTGATGTTCACACAAGGAAGTCTGGCTTTGTTTGCTGAGGCAGAAAGGATCACATCTCATATACATGACAATCTTATCTTCTTCAGCTATGTCTACCCTACCCAAGTCTGGCACTCTCTCCCACTTTCAGGGTACTGTAAGTTTCTTCCTAGGGGCTCTTGTAGCTCTTGAACTTCTGGGTTCAGATCAGAAATGCAGATATGCTTTGGAGAGGGCAGGGTGTGGAGGGGAAGTCAGGACCAAGCCAGCATGTGTTACATATTTGTGCTTTTGATGCTCCTCTGCATTTGTCACTCACAGCTTAATGCCTCGGACAGGCTCCACGGAAGAATGGGAATAGGGCAGGGTGGGGGAGCATTACCTTGTGGAATCCTGTAGGTGACTTCTCCAGGCTTTCTGAGCTGGCGCAAGGTATAGTCACTATGAATATTGATTCCCATTCCCAAAATAAATAGGAAGACACCTTGGCAAAGAAGAGAGGGGAGAAATTTTAAAAAGGAAAACAAAATTGTGTTCCAATTTTAGTTGTTTTTATGCAAGTTAAACGTTGCTTTGTGTTTTGTTTTGTTTTGTTTTGTTTTCTAATAATGCAAGAAGGGACATTTAATTTCTAAATCTAGGAGTCCTAAATCTAGGAGTCCTAAGTCCAAGTTCAGGTGGACAAGGTATACTTTTTGCAAGAATGAAATGCTCATGTGCATACTCAGTGACACATGACAGAGACAGGAGGGAGAAGAGAGGAGAGCAGGAGGCAGAAGCATCATTCAATGTTTTCAAAATTAAGCAAACAGGGGGCTGGGGATTTAGCTCAGCGGCAAAGCGCCTGCCTGGCAAGCACAAGGTCATGAGTTCGGTTCCCGGTACCGGAGAAAAACCAAAAAAAAAAAAAAAAAAAAACAAAATTAAGCAAACAGATGACTGAGTAATAAGTCATTGGCAAATGATCAAATAATCAAACTTCTCAGCCAAGTCAACAGTGAATTTCAACCTATTCTCTTCTACCATACCCATTACCAGCACTGAAGTGTTGAAACGTGACCATGTGATCTGATTGTGCCAATAAAATGTAAGGGAGAGTCTTCAGGGTCTCCCTCAAAAATCTGCTTTCCTGGTAAAGACCAGTGTGACCTCTACTTCCTCTTTTATCCTGCCTTGATAGCCAGTGTAATACCTGGAGCTGCAGCCCGGGTCCTGTAACCATAAAGTGACTCATGTGAAGATCATAGTAAATATTCTAAGAGTGGAGCATTAAGAGAGAAAGGCCAGGGTTCTTAATGGCATTAGTAAGCAACCAAATGGATGCAGAAGCTGTCTTCCTCTGGACAGTTGTTATGTAAGACATATAGATTTTGAGTTAGGTTGTTACTAATTGGTTTTCTGTGACTCATGGCTGAGAGCATTTCTGACTTATTTTTCCCACTCTCATGAAAGTGAAGTGTACTAGACTGATGGGCTTGGTAACTAGCAAACTTATTTCTACCTCTGCAGTCCATACACACATACACACACACACACACACACACACACATATAAAATAAAGCATACATACTATATGTACTATTCATGACTTTTTTCATCTTTAGACCATATATCCTGAAGGTATCCTGATATGTACCAGCCACTGGTACAGAAAGGGTCCTAGTCTCAGACAAGAAGTTCTAGGTTCAGGCATGTTGGGTCCTGCACCTCAATGGGCATGCTCACCACCCAGAAACACTCACACAGAGGCACAGCCTTGCTTCTCCATAAAATGTATTTGTGCTGATCAGATAAAAAGCAAGAAAAGTTTAATTAAAACAATCAGACCTACTCTCACTTTATTTGATATATGATTTCCCACTTTGTCTACTCAAATGATCATTGCTTTGGAAAAAATAGGTCCTGGGGTGGGGGACAGTGGAGAGGAAGGTGACAGCATGGACAGCAATAGAGAAAGACAAGGACTCAGGACCAGCTGTCTGTGTGTCCTTGAACAAAGTCACTGCACCTCAGTCAGCCTCAGTTTTCTCATCTGTAAAATGTAGCTTCTAACAGCTGCTATCTTGCAAGGATGGAATGGGGTCATCTATGTGTTCATTCATTCATTCATTCATTCATTCATTTATATAACTACATTTATTAAGGACTTGCACTGTATAAATACTATCCTAAGCACTGAGGTTACAAGAATGAAAGAAATAGTCAAAGTGTCTGTTGTTATGAATCTACATTTTAGTGGAGGAATGCAGAAATGAATTAAAGAATTCAAAAATCAAAGTAAAATTCTACATTGCAGAAAAGCAAAGCAGGGTAATGAGATAGAGACTAAAGAAGGATAGACATGGTCTCTATTTAAGAGATGGCAGCTAAGGAAAGTATTTTGGAAGATTTGGCATTTGTCCTTTGATCTGAATATGAAAATACAAAAATCTGAGGGAGAGTAATCTGTTCTCCAGCACAGAGGGACTACCACACACGAAGGCCCAGTGCCTCTGAAACAAGGATGGAGTAGGGCCAGAATGAGAGGGAGCAGGATGATAAGTAGGAAGTTACATGAAACACCAGCCCAGATTGCAAAGGCAAGCAGAAGCACTGAAACAACACTCAGGACTTGGGGGCAGATTTATTTATGTCCACAGGCACTGATCGGGATCATTCCCAGACTATCACACCCTGATTTCTGGTGGCCTAGGGCTTGCTTGTATGAGATAAGCAAGCAGGAAGTACGAGGCAGAATGGCTTGTCAATTGGGGACTGGTTTCTGCAATGTGCATCATAGTGATCAGCTATGCATCACAGTGACCAGCCATTTCCAAGAGACAGGAGCAACAAGAACTGGAACAGGAACTATCACCTAGGCAACTAGGAAACTGAAGTATATTGGCTGTGGGGGGTGCTATTTCCTGATACATTTCCTCCTTTTCTTAGTTTTCCCTGGCAAATCTTCACTGAGCATATTACATGTGATCTTCTGGCACAAGGCACAACTGGAATTTAGGTATCTCTGTTCTGTAACATTACTCTGGCAAGGTAGTGAGGGAGTTAATCTGATCTAGGATAGTGCCCAATATGACTTGGATGCTCATCAAATCTTGGTCAAGTGTTTGACTGATTGCTCTATTTTCTTGGGGCAACTGTCCCTAGAGTTAAAAGCAAAAAACACAGCTAGGAGCGGATGAGGAAGCAAGGACTGGGTAGAATCCAGGTCCGTTAATAAAAACCACAGCTATCAGAGGGGCAAGGAAGCAAGGACTGGGGTAAGCAGCCTGAAAAGACCCAAAAGCCAAGGAGAATAGGTATGGAGCAATGCTGTGAACAGTGTCCTCTGATTTCAGTCATGCATGGACTGGGCAGAGTCCAGAGTGACCAGAGTACAGCTTTGAGTGCACTGTCTCTTGGAAGTGAGCCTCAGAGGCATTATTCAGGTAAAATTTCCAGCAAATCTAAGGCTGGATTTCTGAAACTTGTAGAGATAGTTAATACGTACCTGGGTTATATGTGTGTGCAGAAATGTCTACAGAGATAGCTGACCTTTACAAGTTGGTTTTTAACTATTCTAGAGCTTTGTGACCTGTATGCTGTATGTGTAGTTTTCATTCAATCTAGCTTTTGAGTTACCTCTGCTACAAATGTAGGCCCATTGTCACTGCCAATGATCAAGGTTAAGCCATATCTAGAGATGATTTTTTACAGAAGGACTCTACAAATGTTTACTGTCTTTTCAGTATGTGTAGGAAATGGGAGGTCAGAGCCAGTGACACAGACGCTGAAGGCTGAGCCAGGAGCAGGGTTACAGGTGCCAGCACAGTAGCTTGAGCTTGCAGAACATACAGTGAGGGCAAGTCTGACGGCTGGGGTTGATGCTTCAGTCAGCTGGATTCCCAAGGGGGGGTTAGGCCTCTGGAGCAGATTATTTGGCATTGTTTGTGGCAAGTTTCCAAACAGCAGCAGGAAGCCGTTTACTGTGCAGATCATCCCTGCAGGAGACTTTTGCCAAAATAGTTTTGTCCAAGGTGACCACAGCATATTTAGCCTGTCAGATGTTATTCATAACAGAGCTTTTTCCATCCATAAACAGGGCATACTCAGCATCTGTTAGGGGGTCCACTTTTTAAGAAATGGACCAGTTCATCCCAGTACAGCCTGTGGCACCTGGACAGTTAGGTCCCAGCCTAAGCTGAGCTTGTCAGCTCTCTTGATCAGAAGAACAGTGGCTACTAGAGCATGGAGGCAAAGGGGGAGACAACCCATAATGACTGAATCCAAGTATTTGCACAGATAGGCCACTGGGCACTCCCAGGGGCTGACAGTCTGAGTAATCATCATTGTTTTTGTGAATTCAAGGATCCAGATTTCATAGCAGCAAGCAGCTCCAAGAAATCTGTGGCTTTTGAAAGAGGGAACAAGCTTTTGAACCTCTGGGAGGTTGAGTCTATGTCAGTTGTGAAGAGAGGCTGGCTGACAGGAGCCAATTGAAGGCAGAAAAAGGCATTTTTTAGGTCTAGGCAGGTGTACTAGCAGGCTGTAGGTGGCAGAAAACTGAGGCAACATATACAGAGTACAATTGCAGTGGCATTGGCAGCTCAGAGATCTTGAACAGGCTTTACAGGCAGGAGAGGTTTTAACAGTTTGACAGTCTATACTGTTTAATCAGCGGGACCATGACAGAGCTGAAAGGGACAGAGAAACCTTGGAGAAAAGGTGCTGGTGGTTTGGCCAAGTCTGATGTTACAGCCACCCCATAAATAGTGGTAGAGTTTTTAAACCCTTGTGACAATTGAGTCCAAGTGAAATAGCCTTTTATCTCAGGAGCTTTCTAGTGGAAAGGGCTTGTGGGAGAACTTGCAAGCAGAGGAAGGCATCTTTTAAATCTAGAACAGTCCAAAAAGGGTGTATGAGTTGGGAAACACAGAGTGCAAGGTGATGGCTGCATTGTTGATGGCACAGAGATCTTGCCCGAGATGATTAATTGTCAACGAGGCTGATGTGTGGCTGGATGCCTGTTTGTGTTTCCTGTGACATCTGACAGCAACAGGGGTCACGGTAGGTGGTATGGTTGATGGCCAGACCCAGAGGCAAGTCTTTCGCTGACACCTCTGGGAAGAGAGTTTTTAGAACTTCAGGATTTTGGTTATCTGCCTCAGGCTCATGCAGGCATCATCTTTCTGTCAGGGAACAGTCAAAGTTGAAAGTGCAGGGTTAAATGAAAGGGAGGCTGACTGACTTGGTGCAAAGGAGATGGTCATTTCTAACTTGAAGAGGAAATCTCTTCCCTGAAGCAACACGGGGACTGGCTTATACAGAAATTCATGTTTTATGACATGTCCCTCAGGCTGCAAGTTTGTGCCTGGCAGAAGGAGCAAGAGGTAAGAATCCCAGTTGCCCTGGTGATGGTAACTTTTTGACAGCAGGAACTTTTGAAGGCAGAGAGTTCTGTTCCATTATCTACCAGCAAAGTCACAGGTTTGTCTCTGACTTTTGCAATGACAGAGGGCTCTCAGAGGCCCAATTTCATAAAGCTCAGTCTGTCCTATCTATTCATGCCCAACAGGATGCAACTCATTTGTCAAGGCTGACAGTCCAATTTTTCCTCACTTAAAATGTGGAACTCAGAAGGAGTGGCTGACAGTCATCTTGGGTGGGAATTAAATGTGCTATCTGACCAGGATAGGCAGAGCTATGAAGCAGAAGGTTCAGGGGAGGGCACCTGTAGCCAAAGGCAGGCAGTGGATAGCTGGGACCAGTCAATTGGCTGGAAGTAGATGAGTCAAGAGGTACCAAGGTGGAATTCTCAAGGAGAACGGGCCTCTTTCCTTTTGGCAGTTTGGTTTCATTTTTAACTCTGTAAAAGCCCCTTTTCCTGCAGTCAGAGATGTGAGTTTTAACTAATTAGTTCCCATTCTATCTCCCTGTGGTGTATGTTGTGTACCCTTGAATGATGGCACAACAGACAGAAGGCGGGTGCTCCACAAAGAGAAACCATTAGATGCTCACCTGGCTGCATCATTCTCAGAGACTTAGGCACAACTTAGCTAAGGGGGGTGCAAGGCCTCCATTTATGCCATATGTCGATCACCATGGAATAGCAGATGAGAGCCCAATCAGCCACCATAATCTGTGTTTCCCATTCTTGATGCATGGACAGAGCAGCCTATTGATTATGTTGTCTATTCCACTCACACATTCATTCATTCAGCAGGCACTCAGACGTGAAGCATTCCAATTCCCCTTCCCTTGTTGGTGGCCTTCAATAACAAGAGTTGATCAAAGTCTTCTTCTGCTCAAACTGAGCAGGACTGACAGACTAACTACGGTGCCCCCAGGGGTCTTACCAGAATCAGGCAGGAAGGCAGACAGACAGACAGAAAGACAGACAGATAGGCTGCATCCTCCTCCATTTAGGGTCTGATGTGAGCTGCTTGAGTGGGGAGATAGGAATCCTCCTCAAGAACTCCAAGGGGATCCAAGAAATCTCAAAATCTCAAAGGTGCACCTTTCCATCCGGACCTGGAGAGGCCCCTGCTCCATCAGTGAGGGCCATGACCAGTGACCAAAGAGGTCAGCACAGTCAGTATTCCTGGCAGATGATACAGAAGATGCAACGGCAAGCAGAAACACCAAAACGACACCAAGCATTTGGAGGCAGATTTATTTATGTTGACAGACAACAATCAGGATCATTTCCAGAATATCAGGCCCTGATCTCCGGCAGTCTAGGGTTTATATGAGATAAGCAAGCAGGAAGTACAGAGGCAGAATGGCTTGTCAACTGGGGACTGGTTTATGCAATGTGCACCATAGTGACCAGCTGTGCAGCACAGTGACCAGGCATTTCTAAGACACAGAAGCAATCAGAACTGGAACAGAAACTATCATCTGGGCAATTAAGAAACTGAAGTATATTGGCTGGGGGGTCATTTTCTGTTATAAAAACAGTATTTTTGGCAGGGATTTGGGGTGTCGTTGACTTATTGAATAGATCAGACTGCTGTCTCTCATAATTTCCTTTGCTGAATATGACTGGTTTATGCCCATATGTTCACGTGATCCTATTTGCTGCATTTCCTGTGAAACTGCATAACATTATCATTTTAAGCAAGGTACATTTCTGTGCTATCAATTCTGAGTACCTTCTCTTCAATGCAAGTTTATTTTTTAAATTAAGTGTCATCATTCAAAGAACAAAACTATAAAATGAAAGAAAAGCTCTACCTTTTCTTTACCTGCCCCATTCTACTTACCCTGAATTCTTTACTCCAACATGTATAATGCATAGGGAAACTTTTATAATTCTAATGTTTCCTTTTATGCACACATACACACATACACACATACTTTTCCTTTTACCCCATTCCCACACTTTTAAAAAAGCATACTATACAGACTGTTCTAAACTGTTCACATCTGTCTGTCTCTCTCTTTTTCTTAGCTACGTACCCTGGAGACATCTCCACCTGAGCTAGAGGTCTTTCTAGTTTTGTTTGTTGTTGCTGTTGTTTGTTTTATTTGTGTGTTTGTTTTTTGTGGACATAGAATACTGTATCATGCACAGGTACCAGTACTCATGCAATGAGCCCTCTGGTCATTTGTGTCTGAATAGTCACTGACTCCTGCATGGAGAATGAGTTGTTATAGAACAGGATGGGGTAGGAAATTCAGTTTGGAAGTTATTATGGAACTGCAAGCAGGAGGTCATGGTGGCTTTGACTAGGATTACATTAAGGCAGTCATATAAAAGAGAGTCCATTTGGCACATGGTCTGGAGTTAAGAGCCAGTGGCATTAAACTGATGGATAGGATAGGATATGTGATACTAATAGGGATTAAGGATAATCTCTGTTGTCCCATTTTTTAAAAATCAGAGCCAAAATACTGTACAAGAACTGAATCCTTTTGGACTTTAACTCCTCTTACAAAAAAAAAATTGGAATGAAAAAGAATTCAGTGATCTTTGTCTTCAATTCTTCTATTTATTTATTTTTGGGGGGAGATTACCAGAAATCAAACTCATGATCTCAGGCTTGCCAGGCAAGTGTTTATACCACTGAGCTACATCCTTGCCCCTTCAATTCTTTTAGATAACATGGCCAGGAGCAGCCTCTGAGAAGATGGAAACTGAGGAAGGAAAGCTCAACAATTTTCAGCACGGCAGGAATGCCACTGGGGCTAGAAAAGAAAATGCAGTAAAGGGAGATAGAAAATGGTTTGGGAAATTGGAAAGACCAAGAACATCTGAACAATCTCTGTGGCTACCATACAGAAAAAAGACCGAGTTAGAGGACTGAAAGGATAATGGGATCACTAGGAGGTCAGGATGGGGAAAGGTGGTAAAGTGGAAAAAGGCAACGATAACTTACACTGAAGGAGCAGACATGAGCTAGCGTGTGAGTGAGATATGGTCAGGTTCACTTACCCAAGCTAAACCGAACATCTGTGTACCACTCTTCAGGGTATTCTGCACAGAAAATCAGATAGTAGCTTTGAAGGAGTCCATTTCCAATGCAGAAGACTATTCCTTGGAAAAGGAACAAGGCTGGATAAGGCCTCCCTCTAGTGAGAAGTGAGTAAATAAAAGTCCTGGAATATAAGGAGATGGGGAGAGAGAGGTTAGTTTCCATTGCCAAAAAAAGAACAACTACTTTGAAGATAACAGTACGCAATATAACAACCATTGTTGATTTCCTATCATCTTGTTTTGAAATTCTGTATTGCTTCTAATGTTTTTTAAATTTTTATTCTCTTTAAAATAAAATACTTAAAAAAGAAAAAAACAAAATAAACACCAATAAGATGGAAATGTTCCAAACAGAAAACCATATTAAGATATTGTTAGTTTTTCCTGAAATTTGTGCAATTAAAAGACATTACTATCTGGTTCTAGAGCAATTATTTATGCTATTATTTATTGTTTTATAAAAATCCATAATAACTACTATTTGGTATCTTATTATATTCTCACAATAGCCATCCAGTAAATTAAATGTGCTTTTCATAAATCTATAAATGAAATCTAGTTTATACTGAAAGAACAACAAAGCAGAATGGCTCTTTGAGAGCAGCCTCTTAACCATATGCCTTTCTATTATGTTTCTCTAAAATGATTGTTTACTGATATTATAGCACCTCCTAGAAATGGGACTCCAGGATACCTTGAGAAGAGATACTCTTTTAAATGTCAGAGATTATGAATCTGGAGGAATCTAGAAAGAAGGCCTTAAAAATATAAATACTCTCAGAACATAATTTCCCCAAAATATATTGCTAAATACTAGATCACAAACTACAACCCTTTGTAATTCTTCTTAAGGTACAACATCATAGTCATACAAGAAAGTTGAAAAATCTATGTGAATAGCTTAATGAAACTATCAAATAAATACCCAAATAGCTAGCAGCTAAGAAGTGAGACATGCCAGGCATGGTGATGCACACCTGTAACCCCAGCACTCAGGAGGCTGGAGCGAGAGGATTACAGCAAGTTTGAGGCCAGCCTGAGCTACCTGGTGAGTTCAAGGTCACCCTGGACTACATAGCAAAACCCTGTCTCAAAAAAAGAAGTGGAATATACCATCATCCTGAGACACCTGTGTGCCCTTCCTGTCCACAGAGCCATCACCACCCCAGAGATTAGAACTATATGTATTTTTGTAATAACTATTTCTTTTAATAATTTTACAATTATACCACAATTGTATGCATCCTTAAAAATACAGTTTATTGTAGCTCCCAAGTAAACAGTGGTGGTTTGATCCTGGGACAGAGGCAAAAGCTAAAACTAAAAAGTGAACAGTAACTAAAGAAATCTACACACAAGCAACAAAGCTTGCCACTATAATCAGTTCACAAGCTTCAACACAAAAACACAAACAAAAAATAGAACCAGAAGAAGTCAAGCCAATAAAATTGCCCCCTGAACTCCCAGCTTCCCCAAAGCTGATCCATGTAGCATCCAATGTGAGGAAACCAAAAGCCACACAGCCAAATTTTTCCAAAGTGTTAACAGAGGAGATAATAAAATAGATAAATAAGGTGTTTCTCAAGCCTACAGACAGCATAAGTAAACAGATAATGGGAGAAACAAATAAAAGGATCAGAGTCTACAGAACACAGTGATAAAAACCTGGCCAAGCTAAACAAAATAATACAAAATATGAATGACCAGCATAAAAAAGAATTAGAGCCCATAAAAAGATTCCAAATAGAAAATCCAAATAAAAAATTCAATTGAAAGTATGGACATCAGAAGTAACCAATGTGAAGATATCTCAGAACTCAGACAGGGAGATTGTTGGTGACCATTTAGTGAGAGATGCCTTTAAAACAAGAGAACATTAAAATGGATCCAACCACTTCTAGATGACACAAAGAAGACTAATCTAAGATGAATTGGAATTAGTAAAAAATCAGAAGATAGTACAAGTGGCATAACAACCTGTTTACTAAAATAATAGCAGAAAACTTTCTAAATGAGGGAAAGCAATTAAACATACAATAAGTGAGGCATATAGAACTCCAAATAGCCACAATCAGAAAATAACCTCACCACAATACATCATAGTCAAAATCCCCAAAGTCCAACACAAGAACAGAAATTTGAAGGCAGTTAGAGAAAAGCAAAATATCACTTACAAAGGTAAAGACATTAGGATTACAAGAGACTTCTCAACAGAAACAAAGCTCAGTAGAGTTTGGAGTGAAGTGTTTCAAGCCCTAAAAGAAAACAGTTTCCAATCTGAGCTGACATATTCTGCAAAACTATTGTTCAAATTTTATGGACATATAAGAAATTTTCATGATAATGAGCACCTAAAGAAATTCATAACCACCAAACCAGAACTCCAAAAACCTCTCAAGGATATACTAAAAAGAGAAAATGAACCTAATGATGACAAAAGACCTAATAGAATGAATATATTGGATAAGGTGAGAAGTTAAAAGAAAGGAGAGATAAGAAATAAGCAATGGGAAAATAAGGCAATGACAGGAATGTCAAACTTACCAGTAACAACTCAGTGTGAATGATCTTAATTTCCCAATCAAAACACACAGATTGCCAGAATGGACTGAGAAACAAATTCCAAGAGTATGCTGAGCACATAAAACACATTTAACCCAAACTCTTAGATTCAAAATCAAAGGATGGAAAACAATATTCTATGCAAATAAGAACCTGAAAAAAGCAGGTGTAGCTATCATATATTCAGACAAAGTGGACTTCAAACCAAAAATGATCAAAAGAGGGAAAAGAGATCACAAGATATTGGTTAAGGGGACAATCCAACAGGAAGAAATAGCAATTTTAACATAGATGCACTGAACAACAGCATACCCAACTTCATAAAACAAGTATAACTAAACATACAAGATCAGATAAACATCAACACAATTAGAGTAGAGGACCTCAATAACCCTACCATCAAAAATAGATCAACTAGTCAAAAACCAACAAATAAATATCACAGTTAAACCACACTCTTGAACAAGTGGATTTAATAGATATCTACAGAATATTCCACTCAACAACAGAATACATATTCTTCTCAGTGACACATGAAATTTTCTCCAAAGTAGATCATATCCTAGCTAAAAAGCAAGATTAAGTAAATGCAAAAGAGTTAAAATTATACTATGCTTATGACCAGATCACAGTGGAATGAAACTAGAAATCAATAGCAAAAGAAAACACAGTAAATATGAAAACTTATGAAAAATAAGCAACACACTCTTAAATAATCAAAGAGTCACAGAAGAAATCAAGAAATAAATAAGAAAAATTCTAGAACTAAACTATAATGCCAGTACAACATACCAGAACTTACAGTACATAATGAAAATAGTTTTAAGAGGCAAGTTCATAGCTGAGAAAGGTCACAAAATTATCACAAAAACAGAGTAAACCCAAATAAATAATCTAATGATATACCTCAAGGTTCTAGAAAACAAAAACAATCCAAATCCAAAGCTAGTACAATGAAGGAAATTATAAAGATCAGAACAGAAATCAAGGAAGTTGAGGGAAAAAAAATACAAAGAATCAATCATTTGACGAGTTGATTCTTCAAAAGAATAAGCAAAATAAACAAATCCTTAGCCAATCTAGCCAAAAAAGAAGATCAAAGACCCAAATCAATGCAATTAGAATTGAAAAAGGTAAGATAACAACAGACATTACCAGAATCAACTAACTATATTTTGCAAACCTGTACACCAATAAATTGGAGAATTCAAAAGAAATTGATAGATTCCTAGGCACACATGAATTACCAAAACTAAATCAAGAAGACATAAAAACCTGAATAATCTAATAACAGGCAATGAAATTGAAGCAGTAATAAAAGGATAACAACTAAGAAAAGCCAGGTCTGGATGGATTTAATGCTGAATTCTACAAAAACTTCAGGCAAGATATAATACCTATACTCCTCACATTTAATGAAATTGAAAGGAAAAAAGTACTTCTAAATTTATTCCTGGAAGCTAACTGTCTAGGTTACTTTTTTCTCATTGTTGGGACAAAATACCTGACTCCCAAAATTAAGGAAGGAAAGGTTTATTTCACTTACAGTTTGTGGAGGTTACAGTCCGTACTTGGCAGATTATAAGGCAGAGTGGCACATGGCAGAGAGCTACAGCTCAGGGCAGCAGAAAACAGCAAAGCAACAACCACACACCAGGGTGGAATGGGGAGGAATGGCCTCAAGCACCCTTTTTCTCTCCCTTACATATGCAAACTATCCACCCCAGGGTAGGTGTAGCTCTCACACCCCCAATCAATCAACTCTAAAAGCCTGCACCATGACCGCATGAGGCTTTTGGGGGACACACAGACAAACCATAACACTAACACTACTCTGACTTCAAAACCACACAGGGATCCAACCAAAAAAGAGAACTACTGGTCAATCTCTTTAATGAATATAGATGCAAAGATCCTCAATGCAATACTGGCAAATAAAATGCAACAAATCATCAAAAACATCATACCTGATGAGCAAGTAGGCTTAATCTCAGGGATGCAAAGATGGTTCCACGTATGCAAATCAATAAATATAATATATCACATAAACAGAAGCAAAGACAAAAATCACATGATCATCTCTGGGAGCAGAAAATGCCTTTGACAGAATTCAACTCTTTTCATTAAAAAAAAAAAAAAAAAACTCTGTACAAAATAAGTATACTTTTCAATCTGATAAAGCCATTTATGACAAAGTTACATCCAACATTATATTAAATGGGGCAAACTGAGAGCTTTCACTCTAAGATCAGGAAAAAGACAAGGATGTCCACTATCACCACATGTGTTCAACATAGTACTCATAATATTAACAAGATCAAGTATGAAGGAAGGGAGGGAGGGAGGGGAGAAAGAGGAAAGAAAGAAAGAAAGAAAGAAAGAAAGAAAGAAAGAAAGAAAGAAAGAAAGAAAGAAAGAAAGAAAGAAAGAAAGAAAGAGGAAAGAAAATATGTATAGGAAATGCAAAAGTCAAATTATCATTATTTGCAGATGACATGATGCCTACATAGAAGACCCCCAAAATCCACCAAAACTCTTAGAATTAATAACCAAATTCAGC